TAGGGCCATTATTGTAAAAAAATCTTTGCTGATCACAGGATGTATGGGGTGGGATGAGGGGAGGGAAGGGAAGATGGAGCACAGAGTAGGGAACAGACACAGGATAGCTTGGGTGCTGGGGGGAGATGGGCAATACACAAGAAGGGGGAGGGGAATGGAAGAACAAGATGGATGGGAGAACAGTTAGGCAGGTTTGCGTGAGCTAAATGGGACAGAGGTAAATAATGATGTATGTACAACCTTGGAACAACAGGGCTCTGTGATACAGGGATTGAGGCATGGTTTAAATGGGTAAAAGAGGGGAAATAATGTTAAGATGCTTGGCTGTCTTTTGAATCTTGGTTTCCTTGCCTATCATTGTAGAATAGACACTTGTGGGGGAGAGAAAAGAATAGCCAGAATCATCACTACAGAAAGCTTGTAAGTCTGTCTTCAGCCTATAACTGATTAGAATACCTAAAAGGAGACTAGAACTTGCCCAGTCAGAGAGGCTTCCTGTGGAGCCTTTGCATTGCATAGGACCATAGGTGGAATCCTGAACCCTATCTAGAATCTTCTGAGGTAGGAAATTTCTACTTGAAAGGACAAGCAAACTAGCCTGGAGTGGCTAGAAGAACAGAAGATACTTCTTGAAAGAAAGACCAGCAGGAAAAATCAAAACATTAACGGCAGTCTGACTGACTACAACAAAAATAACAAGCTGTTCACCAGGGAGCCATCAAGGCAAGTGGTTGGGTCCCCTCAGAGCAAAGCCCCTTCCAAGACTAAGACTCAGGGGAATACTTGAGCAGGCATGTGGTCTTGCTGGTGACCACATTGGCCACTAATAAGGGGAAGTGGGGGGTGGGGGGAAAAGCAATGAAGATGTGAGCTAAGTCAGACCGTGTTCAATAAAATAGACTCCTGTAAACCTGGGTTGAGACCTGGTTGGCCAGCAGTATGGCAAGACCTGGGGATTCCTGGGCCCAGAGACAGTGACAAAGCCACAGAGGACTAGAGCAGAGAGTGAAGTGTCTCGCTGATATGAAGTGAGGGGAGATGCACAAGAAGACCCATACTTGCAGATAGTACCCACTTGGCCTGGCTTCAATGGCTAGACGATCAGAACTCAACCAGAAGAAGAAAGAAGAGGGAAAATAAGCATTGTTGTTGTTGTTGTTAAGTGCCGTTGAGTCGGTTCCGATCCATAGCGACCCTGTACAGGGTTTCCGAGGGTGTAAATCTTTACGGGAGTAGAAAGCCTCATCTTTCTCCCGCGGAGATGCTGGTAGTTTCGAACCGCTGACCTTAAGGTTCACAGCCCGATTCGTAACCACTACGCTACCAGAGCTCCTACTTATGGATGTAGTAGCTCAAAAGAGTGAACAAATCTTTACGACGAGGATCACTCCCACCCCCTCAGTTCACAGGGTTGACAGGGATGGGCAACTTAGACATTGGATACCCAAAATCGGGGGGGGGGGGTACAAAGACAAGAAGTCACTGGCTTTATAAGCTTTCAAGAGGGAGCCTAGTTCCTGAGGGTGCAGGGGAAGGTAGAATCTCCACTGAGTGGTTTCCAATCTTTCTGGACAGGGCTGATGAAAGGAGATGGGGCTAAGACTATTGTGGTACAATAGTGAATAACTGCTATCAGGACTGACTGTGAGGGCCGGAAATGTAAAGGTAGATGTTTTGTAACAAAAGGAGGGGAGTGGTTGATTTTGCAGTCCAGGAGCGGAGGTCTCTTGGACCAACGAGTGAGAAGAGCAGAGTGCAGGACGCTACCCAGAGAAGCAGAAGCAGTGACACCCACCAGAGATGGAGACAGAGGGGATGACATGGAGAGACGGTGCAGCTGGGGATTCTGGACTCAGGGAGGGAGAGGGGCTGTGTGCTGAGGGGCTGTGTGCTGAGGGGCGGGCGGAAAGGGGGCGGGGGAGGAGCAGGCTTGAGGGCTGTTTGATAATGCATGCAGGAGATTGTAATCATTGCAATGAAATGAAATCAGATAGGATGAATGTAAAGCTAATGTTCTCTCCTATGTAACTTATCACATAATTCACAATAAAAACTAAAAAAAAAGTGGTATGGGAAATGGATAGCCTAGTCTTAACTGTAGTATTCAAACATTTCCATGATGAAGTCCTTTTCTGTATAGAAGCAGAGAGGGTGTAATTGTGACGGCAGTTTAGTCAGGGTTCCAAATACTAGCCCTCCAGACACATAAGAGGTTCTTAAAGCTGTTTATTGAAAATCTGATTGCCTGCTGAGGATACTTATGTTGTTTAGTGTTTAGTGCCATGGAGTTGGTTCTGATTCATTGACCCTGTACAGGGTTTCCGAAGAACAGCTGGTGGGTTTGAACCACCGACCTTAATGGATCAAAGTCAAGAGCTTATCTTGCAGTGCCACACCAGGAGTCCAAGGATACTTAAAAGGCATGACTATACTGGTGTGGAGCTGTCAGAAAAGCACTGGACCGCAAGTCAGTTTGAACTGCAAGGTCGCCGGTTCAAACTCACCAGCTGCTATGAGTTGGAACGAACTCCAGTGCACTTAACAACAATACTGTAATTAATTTTTCTAATAAATATGTCAGAACTTACATATCCAATTGAGTTTTGCCCTCTTCAAGACATCACATTGGGGAAAAGAATAAATGCATTTTCTTTGAAAACAACAAAATTTCTTCCCTGTCTCATTTAGTTTGACCAAAAATAATTTCTGATTTAATCACTAATTTTGTTATCCAGAACCATGTGGTAATTTGCCAGTTAATTTCCATAAATTAAGTGCACCACAGCACAGAGACTGCCACCCTACTGGCTACACATGCCACAGCAACTAAGGCTACTCCTTTGAAAGTTACAGAATTGATCAAGGATTTTTTAATTTTTATTTTGTTTTTATTGTGAATTGAACAATAGTTTACATGAGAGAACATCAGCTTTACATTCATCCTGTTGTATTTTGTTTCATTGCAATGGCTACAATCCCCTCCACACATCATCATTCAAAGTATTTGCTTCCAATCCCTCTGTTTTGTTTTCCTGTTTATACACTGAAGCACTCAGGAATATATAACCATTCAAACCAAAGGGCATATCCTGCTATCCTGCCCCCTGGCCACCAGCACACAGCCCCTCTCCCTCGAGTCCAGAATTCCCAGCTGCTCCATCTCTCCAGGTCATTGTCACTGCCTCCATCTCTGGCATTGCTGCTTCTCTGGATAGGGTCCCACACTCTGCTCTTCTTTCTTGATGGTCCCAGAGTCCTCTGTTCATGGACTTCAAGATCAACCACTCCCCTCCTTTTGTTACAAAACACCTACCTTTATATTTCCGACCCTCACCGTCAGTCCTGATAGCAATTATTCACTATTGTTCCACAAGTCTTATCCCCATCTCCTTTCACCAGACCTGTCTACACAGGTTGGAAACCACTCAGTGGAGATGCTACCTTCCCCTGCACCCTCTGAAACTAAGCTCCCTCTTGAAACTTGTAAGCCAGTCACTTTGTACGCCACCACCACCACCCATTTTGTCAAGGTAGCCAATGTCTAGGTTGCCTATCCTGTCAATCCTGCATACAGAGGGGGGGGGGGGGAATGATCCTTGCTGTAAAGATTCGTTCCCTCTTTTAAGCTACTACATCCAAATGTCAAGTTCATCAAACTGTAGCGGATTACACTTTTTTTTCCTTTAGTGGAGTTCTGATCATCCAGCCACTGAAGCTAGGTCAAATGGGTACTATCTACAAGTATGGGCATTCTTGTGCATCTCCCTTCATTTCATATCAGCTGGACACTTCACTTTCCACTCTAGGCCCCTGTGGCATGTCACTGTCCATGGGCTCAGGAGTCCCCAGGTCTCGCTATACTGCCGGCCAACCAGGTCACGATCCAGGTTGACAGGAGTCTATTGAACATGGTCACTTAGCTCACATCTTCACTGCTGTTTTTCTCCCACTTCCCTTTAACGGTGGACCAGGTGGTCACCAGCAAGATTACATGCCTGTTCATGTATTCTCTTTGAGTTTCAGTCTTGGAAGGGGGTTTTCCCTGAGGGGACTTGATTGTTGATTAAGGATTTGAAATAATTATTATCTATACTGAAAGGAAGAATGTTTAGAAATAGAAAATCTGATATATCTATTCCTAGAAATAGGTTACAGTACTTAGTAGCTGGCACATTCTAATTCTTTCAAAGTTATAATACATATTTTAAGAATAATTTTGCTAAGGGAGGTGGGGGACAGATTTCAATGTGTTCCTCCTCAGAATTGCTCAGTAAACCCAAGTGATTTTCAAATTGGGAAGCAGATTAATATCAATAAGTTCATCAGATATAGATCTATCCTGAACAGGGACACTGAAGCAATCAGGAACACTTCTGGTTCTGTGTACCTGACAAAGCTTCCAGTTAGGCTGATGCACCAAGAGACTAAACATCAGAGGAAATCTTCCACAGAGATGTCCTGTAAATTTCACCTTCATAAAAATGTAAAACACACAACACACTCCAAGAAATCTCTTTAATTCCAAAAGAGATAAATATAGAAAGTACAGTATCACTTCCTACTATTTCTACTCATACAGTAAAGCAAACAGTAAAGAAACAACTTTCTATAAGCAACATAGACTTTTATGTTTTTGTTTATAAATAGCTAATCTATTTTTTAGTCCTAACAAGATTAAAACATTTTCTTGCCACAACTATCCCATGCCTCTAAGAGGTCAAGGCCACGTCTGGATTCGTAGCAGTCTTACACATACGGTAATTGTAGGGTCCTCTGGAGAAAGAAAATTTGATCTGCTTATATTTAAAAAATTTCTTTTTTAAAAAAATTCTTGTTGTATGTCATTTCACGATGGTAAAAAGAAAGAGATGAGGCAGTCTTCCATAGAATAAGTTGGTTTAGAGAGTACTCTGGTAGCATTTCACAAATTAAAATATTAAATGGTTTAATGATTCCATCTCCAGAGGAAGAGATTTCAATGTGTTCCCCCTCTAAATTGCTCAGTAACCCCATGTGATTTTCAAATTGGGAGGCAGATTACTAGCAGTAAGCTCATCAAATTTAGATCTATCCTGAACGGGGACATTGTAGAAATCAAGAACATCTCTGACTTTGCACATTTGATGTAGCCTTGAGTTAGGTACTGCATGGCCCAAGTCATCAGCAAGGCGTGCCAAGAGACTAAACTTCAGATGACCATCTTCCAGGGTGGTGTCCTGCCAATTTCTAGCAACAGATGGGCCAAAAACTTCTTTGATGTAAGATTCCAGACGGTTCTGGAGATCATCAGGTGGTATGTATCTTCGGCTTCTTAAGGGTGGACACACCAAGATCGGGTCTTTCTTAACCTCTTCTATTATCTCAGCCACCACTGGCTCTTTCTCTGTTCTGAAATTATCAAAAACAAATATGGTAATCCTTGGTTCACTGCATTTGTAAAGCTAACAAACACCAGACCCAATCTTGCCCACCAATCAAAATCAACAAGTAATCTGCACACCCTATTCTTCTTGGCACTGTGGAGAACAGGAAATAAATCAGAGGCCATGCCCTCAAAATGCTTACAGTTTGAGTTGAAAAAATATAAACGTTATGTGCTTTAAGAAGTCTTATGTCAGGAGGGAACAGTCGCTGGAGAAGGATGTCATGCTGGGAAAGATGGAGGGTCAGAGAAAAAGAGGAAGAACCCCAATAAGATGGATCGGCCAGGTGGCATCATTGATGGCGTCAAGTGTGGCAGCAGTAGTGAGGCTGGCCCAGGATCGGACATTGTTTCGTTCTGCTGTGCATGGGGTCACTATGAGTCGGTTCCGACTTGATGGCACCTGACAACAACAAGAAGTTTTAAGAATGGATGAAGCAATATGGACACTGACCTAGCCATGGAGGGCTAGAGCTGAGAGTGAAGTGTCCAGCTGATGTGAAGTGAGGGGAAATGTACAAGAATGCCCAAACTTGCAGATAGTACCGATATGACCTAGCTTCAATGGCTTGAAAACTCAACTAGAAGATAAAGAAATTTGATAAAGGAAGCAAGTATAAAGTGCCACAATTTGATGAACTTGACCTATATTTTTTTATGTAGAAGCTCAAAATACCAACTGAGAGGGAAGGAGTCATCACATCAAGGATCAAACCTATCCCCTCTGTGTGCAAGTGGTATGTATAGGCGCATGAAGTGGCTGGTTTACAAGAGGGAGTTTAGACTTAAGAGGGAGTTTAGTTTCAGAGTGTCCAGGGGAAGGTAGAATCCCCACTGAATAGTTTTCATCTTGTCCAGATGGGTCTGGTGAAAGGAGATGGGGATAGGATTCATTTGATTCAATAGTGAGTAATTGTTACCATGATTAACAGCGATTGTCCCAACTGTAAAGGTAGAAGTTGTGTAACAAAAAGAGGGGAGTAGTTAATCTTACATTCCAGGAACAGAAGACCCTTGGACCATCGAGAGAAGAGCATAAGCGGGATATGGAACCCTATCCAGAGAAGCAGTGACACCAGATATGGAGGCAGAGATGATGGCATAAAGAGACTGAGCAGCTGAGGACTCTAGACTCATGGAAAGAGAAAGGCTGTGTGCTGGCAGACAGGAGGGTGGTTTGCAGAATGTACCCTTTGGTTGTTTAAATGATTATATAGTCCTACATATTTTTACGTACATCAAAAAAACAAAACAAAACAGAGGGAATAGAAGCAAATACAATTAACTGATGGTGCATGGAGGGGAATGTAATCATTGCAATGGAACAAAATACAATAGGTTGAGTGCAAAACTGATGTTCTCCCATGTAAAATATCACTCAATTTACAATAAAATCTTAAAAAAAAAAAAGTCTTCCCCACCAATCTAATACATGCCCTCTAAACTCTCCCCAAATCACACTGTTTCTCAAACATGCTTCCACTTTCCTAGCACCATGTGTTGGCTGAAATCTCAGTTATCCTTCAAGTTTTAGGACAAAACTATTGAGTAGTTTTAGGTAAGTTTCCCTATCTACCCAATCAAATACAAGTGTGAGCTCCTCTGATCTCCCATAGCATTTTTACATTATCCCTAGAATATATCACATCCTACCTGAGTTTTTATTTTATTTACATTGCACTTCTCATACTAGATCAGGGTTTCTCAACTCCAGCACTGCTGATATTTTAAACTAAATAATTATTTGTGAGAGACTGTCTTGTGGATTACAGGACATTTAACTGCATCCTTAGCCTTGATCCAGTAGATGCCAGAAGCAGCCCCATATCTCCTAGTCATTAAAATCCACAATACCTCTAGGAATTGCCAAACGTCACCTAAGGGGTGGGAAGGGAGGCAAAACTGTCCCCAGGAGAGAACCACTGTACCAGATTATAAACGCCTAGATGCAAAGACCTATTTATTTAACTTTGTTGTGGTTGTTAAGTGCCATCCGGTCAGTTCCAACTCATTGCGACCCTGTATAGGATTTCTGAGGAGCAGTTGGTGAGCTTGAACCGCTGACCTTGCGGATGAAAATGACGATGCAGTTAAGTGCCACACCAGGACTCGTTTAGTATCCTCTGAAAACACATTTAATAAATGTTAGTAATAGTTTCGAGTATATGAGCCATGATGGAATCTGCTTGAACTCCTTGATGTTAAGTGTTGTTGAGCCGGTTCCGATTCATGGCGACCCTGTATAGGGTTTCCAAGGAGCAGGAATTGGTTCGGATTCATGGCGAAGCTGTATAGGGTTTCCAAGGAGCAGCTGGTGAGTTTACACCACTGACCTTGTGTTCCTACTGCACCACACTTTTGTCCATAAAGTTGGTATCTGATTGGATTTGACCATCCCTACAAAAACTGGAATAAATTTCTGCACTTGGCCAAGAATGTGATTTCAAATTATATTCCTCTTTGCCTACTTAAGGACTTCCTTCCAGCAATTAATTCCTCTGTCTGAATCAATTCTTTACCATTTTCTTCCTTTGCTAGAATATTCCCATTGGCACATAGTCCTATAACCTCTCCCATCTTTAAAGGGAAAAAAAACAAAAAAACCTCCCTAGAGTCCATGTTCCACTCCTTTACACAGGCTTCTCAAATGCATATATTATATTTGTAGTCTGTGAGAGTTAAAGTTTTGTGTCAGTGAGGCAGTAAAGATGCCTCCATTATAAGGTCTGATATGATGCACTCACCCTCACGATGTGATCTAACGTGACCAGCTTTTATCTGATATGATTATCCTATGTGCTGTAAATCCTTACTTCTATGATGTTATTGAAGTCAAGATTTTTCTTTTTTGGGTTTTCTGACTCTAGATCTTTGCACATTTTGTTTTAACATTTGACTTTATCTTCTCGAGCTGACCTTTGAAATTTTCTGTTTGGCTCTTGTACAAAGATCTGGAGTCAGAAAACTAAAAAGAAAGAGCACGCTCAGCATTTCTCAAGCTGGGGAAACTGAAGAAAAAAATTCAAGCCTTGACTTTTGTTACTGAAGGATTCTCTGGGCAAATTATTGAATGATGCAGAAAGCATCAAAAGAAGATGAAAGGAATACACAGTCACTGTACCAAAAGGAAATGGTTGATGTTCAACCATTTCAAGAGGTAGCATATGATCAAGAGCCAATGATCCTGAGGGAGGAAGTCCAACGTGCACTGAAGGAATTAGCAAAGAACAAGACACCAGGAATTGATGGAATAAAAACTGAAATCTTTCAAGAAAGTGACACAGCACAGGAGGCACTTACTCATCTATGCCAAGAAATTTGGAAGACACCTACCTGGCCAACTGATTGGAAGAGATCCATATCTGTGCCCATTCCAAAGACAGGTGACCCAATGGCATACGGAAATCATCGGACAATATCTTTGATATCCCATGCGAGTAAAGTTTTACTAAATGTAATACAGAAGCAGCTGCAAGCATACATTGACAGAGAAATTCCTGAGGTTCAAGCCGGATTCAGAAGAGGCCATGGAACGAGGGACATCATTGCTGATGTCCGATGGATCTTGGCTGAAAGCAGAGAATACCAGAAAGATGTTTACCTGTGCTTTGCTGACAATGCAAAGGCTTTCGATTGTGTGGATCATGACAAGCTATGGATAACATTGCAAAGTATGAGTATTCCGGAACACTTCATTGTGCTAATGAGAAATCTGTACATGGACCAAGAGGCAGTTGTCCAACTAGAACAAGGGAACATTGAATGGTTTAAATATAAGAAAGGTGTGCGACAAGGCTATATTCTTTCACCATACTTATTCAACCTGTATGCTGAGCAAATAATCTGAGAAGCTAGGTTATATGATAAAAAACATAGCATCAGGATTGGAGGAAGACTCATTAACAACCTGTGATATGCAGATGATACAATCTTGTTTGCTGAAAGTGAAGAGGACTTAAAATATTTACCGGTGAAGATCAAAGAGCACAGCCTTCGGTATGGATTACATCTCAATATAAAGAAAGAAAAAAAAATCTTCACTATTGGACCAATAAACAACATTCTTATCAAAAAAGAAAAGACTGAAGTTGTCAAGGACTTCATTCTTCTTGGATCAACTATCAACACTCATAGAAGTAGCAGTCAAGAAATCAGACGACATATTGCATTAGGCTAATCTGCTGCACAAGGGCTTTTTAAAGTACTGAAGTGCAAAGATATCAGCTTGAGGACAAATGTGCACCTGACCCAAGCCATGATATTTTCAATAACCTCATATGCATGCAAAAGCTGGACAGTGAATAAGGAAGATCGTAGAAGAATTGATGCTTTTGAGTTATGGTGTTGGAAGTGAATATTGGAAATGTCATGGGTTGCCAAAAGAACCAACAGATCTGTGTTGGAAGAAGTACAGCCAGAATGCTCCTTGGAGGCCAGGATGGCCAAACTTCATCTCTCATATTTTGGACATGAGAAGGAAATCATGTTTGGTAAGGTAGAGGGTCAGAGAAGAAGAGGAAGACCCCTAGCAAGATGCATTGGCAAAGTGGCAGCATCAATGGGCTCAAGTGTGGTAACAATTGTGAAGTTGGCCCAGGATCAGGCAGTGTTTTGTCTGTTGTGCATAGGGTCGCTATTAGTAGGTACCAACCCGATGGCACCTAACAACAACAATTGAAGTCAGATTCAATCCACAGGATTAGGATGTAGTTTAAGCCTATCTCTTATGAGATACAAAAGGCGAGAGAAGTGAACAGAAGAGCCAGGAAGAGTCCCCACATGTGAAGTTCCTAGATCAGGAGAAGACTGATGCCAAGATATAGGGAGGTCTTCAAGGAGCACTGAGCCTACAAATGCTGAAAGGAGACAAGGACCTTTTCCCAGAGCCAACAAAGGAAAAGCTTTCCCCTAGAGCCGGCACTCTGAATTTGGACTTCTATCTTCCTATATTGGGAGACTAGATTTCTGGCTGTTAAAGCCATCCACTTGTGGTATTTCCTTGATAGCAGCACTAGAGAACTAAGACACAGTCTCGACACCTGAGCCTCTTTTCTCCGAACCAGTCTTGTCCCATCTCAGCACACTCACTAATCTCGTGTTCTGCTCTACTCATCTGAACTTTCCACTTCCTGAAATTCTAGTTCACATTTATTTATATACTTCATTTTTTCCTCCACAACAATGTACTCAGTTAAGACAAAAACTATGAACTTTATCTTAGTCACTACTGTATTGTATCCGTAACAATTAAAATATAACCTGGCATATAATAAAGTCATCAAGCCCACTGTTAGGAATCAAATCTAACTCATAGCAACCTTGTATAGGGAGTCCTGGTGTGGCGCTGTGGGTTAATGAGCTGGACTGCAAGGTTAGTTTGAACTGCAAGTTTGGCAGTTCAAGCTCACCAGCAACTTGGAAACCCTATCCAGGATAGCTATGAGGCAGAACCGACTTGATGGCACTTAACAACAACAACATGAGGTTTCTGAGACTGTAAGTCTTCAGAGAGCAGAAAGCTTCATCTTCCGCCCACAGGGCAGCAGGTGGGTTTGAGCAGCCTGTGGTTAACAGGCCAGTTCTTACACTGAAGCACCACTAGGGTTCCTCCGCATATAAAAGATACTTTAAATATTTGTTGAATTAAATAATCTTGATCTAAGTGGTTGTTGTTGAAGGGTTAACAATAAATAGTAGCCAATGAAGTTTTTGTTGAAATTTCAGAACAACCATGAGGGGTATGCCTCAAATACTGTCTGGGTCAGCTAGACACTACCTGCAAAGGATTGCACACAGGGTGCAGTGGGAAAAGCAAACGCGGAGTGAGGTCACCTGGGTTATAGACCCAGCTCGGAAATTAATTTACTTGGTGACTTTGAGGAAACATATCTCCTTCTCTGGGGCTCAGCTTCATCAGATGTCAGAGTACTTACTTAAGCTTTGAGATGGAATTTCGTTTCTGTCGTGATAGCCTCCAGAGATGCTCAGTAATTGTTTTGCAAATGAATGAACAAAATGAAAAGACTGCACTTCATTTCTGAATCTTGCTTGTAAAGAAATATATCCTGAAATACACGGTTTACTGAGGAGAATTTTCAAGTTTATGATCATTCGTGTTCTACACATCGCTAGTGTGCTGTCAGGGGTGGTAAGAGCCGTCGGGTCGATTCCGACTCAACCTAGTATAGGGTTTCCAAGGAGGGGCTGGTGGGTTTGAACCGCTAACTTTACGGTTAGCAGTCCACTGCTTATCCAACAGCGCCACACAACGGCTCCATGGAGTCAGTGGTGTATGCTTAAAGAAATGACTGAGTGAAGGAGAAGGAGGCAGTATTTACGTTACGGGAAAACTGAAGCCCAGAGGGGAAGTGGCTGGTCCCCACCCTCGCGGAGCGCAGCTCTGAAACTTCTGAACTCAATTATTTTTTGCATGACACCCCTTTTGAACTTGGCCCTTCATGCTTGCTATATACTTTCACGCCATTTGTTGTTGTTAAATGCCGTTGAGTCGGTTCGACTCACATCGACCCTGTATAGGGTTTCCGAGGAGCAGCTGGGTTTGAACCGCCGACGTGGCGGTTAGCAGCACAGTGTTAATCATCCAGCGCCTCACCAGGATTCCTTCAGGCTATCAGGCCCCTAGTAACATGACGCCCCTTTTAGAATCTGTCCCTTCTGCTCATCAACTTCTTTTCCATGAAAGTAACCCACCATCTAAGCTTCCGCTTTACCTGGATCGAGACCAGAATTGGCGTGGTCCCCTTGAGACTCTGCACGTGAGGCCTCTTCTAGTAATGCCGAACACAGACACAGCAGCCATTTCTAGGACGAGTTACAAGCCGGAGTTGAGCCCTCCGTCGGCACCGACACTCCAAGACCAGCCAATGGTGTGTAAGCTTAATGACAGACGTCATTTTTTTCCCGTTAAGCCTCACAGTCCTCGCCCTCGTCCTGTGCACGCCGGGAAATGTAGTCCGGTAGTCGTTGCCGATAGAGGCTGGACCGCGGCGGTCTCTCGAAGCATGACGGGAGTTGTAGTGAGGGGCGTCCTGTGAAGATTCCGGGTGACGCCTTCTAGTCCGGGGGCGGGCGGTCAGAACGCTTCTAGGCTGAGAGGAGGAGGAACTAGCAGCGGGGAGGAGGCTTTAGAGGCCCGAGGGCTGCGCAACCTGACAGAGGAGCAGATTGGGGACTGGAGATGGTCAGGGAGCGCGTCTGATGTGCTGCAGGGGTCGTGACCGCCCACAGACCTAGTCAAGACCTGGCCGGACTCAGCCTGGAGGCCTCGTCTTCGTCGGGCCTAATCGTCAGTGGTCAGGTAGGCCTCACCAGAGGCTCCTTTCCGTGCAGCCACCGCAGCTCCTGTCCCGTTTCTCTGGCCGGGAGATGGCCACCCCGAGCCCCCCGCCCGAGCCAAAGGTAAGTCGCTCCTCCGGGTAGCCCGGTTCTCTCGCTGTTACCTGAATTAGGCCGTGCCATGGGGCCGCCCTAAGGCGTTCTTTAGGGCCAGTACCTGCGGGGAGATCCCCCTAATACTCTGGGGCGCGGTCACGACCAAACTGTCCACTGACCCTTTTTATTTTCTAGAGCGACTGGATAAATTAGCTGGGGAGAATTCGTAATGCCCCTTGCTAGCTCTCACCTGTGAGTTCCTCCAGGTGAGGTCCTCATCCGTGCCTTCTGTGGCAGACACCATGCCTGGACCCTAGGTAGATACCTAGAGAACCTGGTGGACTTGGATTGAACAGCATCACTCGCTGGTGCAATAGAGAACTGGGATGGAGCAGTAAGGAAGCTGGGAGAGGCCTTGCATTTCAGTATTGTTGTTAAGTGACGTCCAGTCGGTTCCGATCCATAACGACCCTGGTGAGCTTGAACCACCGACCTTGCAGTTGTAACTTTTACTTAGTCTGGCGCATTAACCCACAGCGCCTATTAAACCCGAAAAACTTCATTCTTAGGCCCTTCGCTAACGAGGGGTGCAGCCCAGTCACCCTGTCTTAAGGTGCCTGTCTGCTACAGCCGGTTCTCAGAATTGGGCGCCACTTGGAACTCTTCAGTTACTACATTCCTCCTAGCCTTCTGGGCCTTCAAGTGATTGCTTCTGCCCCTCTCAGTGGTCGAATTGTCCTTGAGACAACAGGAACTGACTACGGAAATCATACTATTTCAGGGGTTGCTGACATTTGAGGATGTGGCTGTGTTTTTTACCCAGGAGGAGTGGGATTATCTGGATCCAGCTCAGAGAAGCCTATATAAAGATGTCATGATGGAGAATTATGGGAACCTGGTGTCACTGGGTAAGAAACTTGTTTCTTTGATTAAAATATCTAAAAGGCTCCTAGAAATGACACACTCAGAACAGTTGGACCAGTACTAATACCCAAACTATTTTATTCCCAAATCTGGATCCATTACAACCAGTTATTTCATAACTCTCATCCTTAGCTTCCCTGAAGTGACCAGAACACAAGCCTTTCTGGCCTCCTGTCTTCATAATCTCATTCCAGTATTGCTCTGTACTTTTCCTCCTGGCTCATCCTCCCACGGCTTTTCCTCCCACCCCTTTCACTCTGCCTTCTGGAGCCCCTGTTCCTCTTCACATAATGTTCCTTACCCCTCCTGGCCTTAACTGAAAACTGGCACTTTGTCAAGGACACCACTTCTGGCAGCCTTTCAAGTGGGGGCTGCTGCTTCTCCCACACCTTTCCTTCTTCCCCATCTTTGATCAAGGCTGGAAGGGAGAAATTGTTCTCTGAGCTTTTCAGTGCTCTTCCCAAAGCATTCATTTTCTCCTCTCAAACACGATTTCTCCTTGAAGGCCTCAGCAATCTTGCTTTACTCACTCAATTCCTTTTCACCATCATTTGTCAATTTCTTTGATCCCTTACATATAGACATTGTCACATGTTTCACAGCCATCTCCCTATGCTAACCCACACCATCATAATCTGATTTCAGCACATGGATGATACAATCAGTATTTGAGTTTTATGTATTTTGATTATATTGATTCCAAGGGTCCTGCTTTCCAGTTTTATTTATCAACTCACACTCCCATCTGATGATACCCTCAATTTTGCCATAACAAACAGACATCTTAAACTGTAGTATCTATCATTTGACCAATATTTAGGCAATAAATATTTGTTGCTAACTAAACAAGGATGACCAGAACAGGCTTACTCTGTACTCTGTGGAGTTTACTATAACTTTTCTTCTTACCTCATTAACACTTAACAACAACAGCCAACTCATTCTCTGGAGTCCTCGTGAGGCACTGTGGGTTAATGCACTGGACTGTAAAGTCGGTTTGAACCACAAGGTCGGGAGTTCAAACTCACCAGCCACTCCTTGGAAACCCTATACAGTGTTGCTAAGAGTCAGAACCTACTGGACAGCACTTAACAACAACAACAATTCATTTCCTACTAGATCTCTTCATTCCTAATGGTGTTTCCTGTCCTTTGACTTCTCATTCTTTCCTCCTGCAGGCCGTCAGTCTTCTCCTGACTGCACCTCATCATCTAACTCATGGTCCCACATATAAATAAACCTCCGATCAGCATGCTCTCTTGCCACATAGTATGCTCTACCCACTCTGCAAATTTCAGTCCTGTGTCAGTTATAAAATCTTCCTTTACTCTTTATAAAACTCCTACCTGAGTTACTGAACATAACAGGAGAAATCCAATAACCAAAAGGCTTGAAGTACCTTATATATGCATGACTTTTTTCCTTCTAGTTTCCACTGGGTCTTTACAGCTCAGTAGTTTGGGGGTTTATTTTTGTCTTTGATCTGTCCATCCCCCTGTTCCTTTAAGTGTCTTTGGTGCATCCAAACATGAGAGTTTTCCTTGAGATCATCACTCAGTAATGGACCTCACTTTTGTTTCGTAGAGAACATAGAGGCTACTGAACATGAATTCTCAATTTCTCTGCATTTCATCTGCAGACTTAAAGTAGCTTCCATCTTCTCATTTCACAGAAACTTACCCATCAGTCATCATTTTTTTTCCTTTCAGTATCAGTCTTTCCTCCCCCTCTCCTGGTGGGAGTTAATATGTAAAGCATTTAGAACACTGATTAGCATGCAACACTGATTGGCATGATGATAGGTTTGTTCATGGCTCTTTCAATTGGAAAAAGAAAGAGGGTAGGCAAGTGGGAAGCTCCTTTGAGCTAATGTCTGTCTCTTGCTACTACCTGTAACTTGCTACTCATTCTTCACAGCCATGGTTTTTGTAAGAGTAGAATAATTAATTCATGTTCTCTGTGATCTCCCATTTCTAATAAGTTACTTTGCTTTATTACTTCTACTTCCCATAAATTATTCTAACATTGGTCTTTAATGACTTATCAAATGCTGTACTCTATTTTGACCTTATGCTAGTCCACCTGCATGGATATTTGAAACACTATAGCTTTCTTCTATTGGCTTACACACTCAGACTCACTGTATACACCTTCTGTGGGGAATCTTGTCTAAGGTCATCAACTATCACAGTGTGATGAAAAATCCCAAATCTTTATATCCAACTGTAAAGTTCAAATCCTGGCACATACATACATCCACTTACTAGCCCTGTGACCATGGCTGAATTGCTTAGCCTCTCTTTTCTTTTCTTTAATAAAGATAATAATATAACCTGCCTTTTTAGGTAATTGTGAGCTTTAGCTGAGTTAATATGTAAAATATTTAGTACTTTGATTGGCATGCAACCAAGTATAAGTTTCGAATACTGTTGTCACCATTATCTTCTTTGTTGAGCTCCAAATTCCTAGTTATCTCCTTTTAAAGATCAAATTAAATTAACATGTACCTCACAAGTCTCAAAGAATCCATGTAGTTCTCAAGGGCTTTCACTTCAGAGTCAAACATGCCTTTCTCTGTGCTACTTGGTATTTACTTCCTTTGTTGAATTTATCATACTTTATGTGCTATTTCTTAACGAGACTAATCTCCAAGGACAGTGGTTGATATTCATCACTTAGCACAGAGCCAAGTATACATTATATACTCTTCTACATTAATGGTAACTGAATGAGTGTGCTTAAATGAAAACTCAGTATTTCTTGCTTGGATTATTGCATTAGGCCCTGTCACCAGTTTTCTTTCTTTTGATATATTCTGTCTACTGCTACCAAAATCATTTTCTGTTTGTTAACTGCTAACACGTTTGACATTCCTGATAGCATGAAAGATAAAAATGTTAATCCTCAATAATAAAAATTCCTGTCATAAAAACAAAGCCTGATTCCAAGTCGTGCTGACCTAATGTGTTAAAGAGTAGAACTGAGTTCCAGGGGGTTTTCTTGGCTGTAATCTTTGCAGAAGCATTGCCAGGCTATTCTTCCATTGTGCTGCTATGTGGGTTTTAATTACAAGCTGTCAAGTCAGCTCTGACTCATAGCGACCCTACACACAACAGAACAAAACACTGCCCAGTCCTGCATCATCCTTACCATTGCTGCTAGTTTGAGCCCATTGCTGCTACTACTGTGCCAATCCATCTCGTTGGAGGTCGTCTTCTTTTTCACTGGCCCTCTACCAAGCATGATATCCCTCTCCAGGGACTGGTCCTCCTAAATATAGCTCTTGCCTAGCTTTCTTGCCTCATCTATCATTTCCTGCTGATTTTCTTTTTTTTTCTTTATATGCCATGATGATGTCTCTGAGTTACTGCCAGCTGTACCTACATATATGGTATCCTGGTTGATACCAAGTGCCTAACCTTGTCTACTCCTAGACTACAACATGTGAGTACCATAGGAACAAAGGTGTGGCAGTAAGCCCATTGGAGGTATTGTACTTTCAGG